TTGTTTTTGGTTTAGGGTGACTTCCTGCAATGGTCTTATTGCAATATATGCAGACCAGGTTAGTACAGCTTGTTCAACAGAGTGGTGGATTTTAAAAAGCTAGATCTGCTGTTAGAGTTTAACCACAGTATTGTCTGTACATGAAATCAAGAATTTGAAGATGGATATAAATGATTGAAGCTCAAATCTGAGAAAGCCATTTCAATATTTTTCTTCTTTTGATGTGCCCCTCCATTGGGAAAAATAACAGTTTAGATTACTCTAGACTAGAGCATCTAAATAACATCAGAAACTAGAGCTATTCTTTCTTAACCCAAGATAATCATGCAAACAAGCCCTAAATATGGTGATCTTCAATAGCAGCCAACAAAGTTCCTATTCTATATAATTTTCCTAATTCAAATGTAAAGCCTCTTTTATTCCCCCATGAAGCCATTGACCAAATGTGTTTTTTAATTTAACTATGCATTCCATATGAAGAGGTAATTTACCAGCATTCAAATTCATTTGATAATTTGGAGTTCTGCTTTTAACAGAGAAGGAGAAACATTTTCTATCCAACTTTTTTACATGTTTATTTAAAATGATTCTAGGTGTTTCATTTTTCTTTTTTTCCAAGCAAAAATAAACAAATTTCTTACCTTTCCTCATAACTAACCTTTTTTTTACAGGCTTGCAATTATTTGTGTAACTTTTCCCAGCTCTGGAATATGCACTGACCAAATGTAGTCAGGTAATGAATTTAGAATAAGGCAATCGCATTATGCTTTCTGATTTTGATCTTATCACTAAGCCACATTATTAACAATCCCAGGGGGAAATTTGTAGTAATGCCACAGTAACTGAAATTAAAATCCAGCAATATTTTGAAAACTAACACACTTATTATGCCACAAACTTTAGTGAATAAGAATCTATTGTGATACATTAAATAAATGGTAAGAAGTCAGAAAGGAAATCTTTTTATAGTGGCCATTTACAACATGGTTTAACAGTAACCGGATCACTGGATCAACAGGCAATTTGTAACCATGATATATGACTTGTAATGGTCAGTGGAATTGGCGGTATTAAATATGATGCTAATTTTTTTGATAAATAATTGTTCAGGTGTTTATATAGTGAAATCTTACTTTTAATTTTCATTGCCCCAAAATTATCCTTCCCTTCCCTGCAGAAAAAGTTATTTTTGGCTTCTTTTCAACAAATGATTGCTTATTCAATTTATTTATTTAACATGTTTGTGTGGCCGCTGGTCTAAATAATGGAACTTTGAGTGGTGATCTAGCATATTGTAGACATGCAGGTGTCCACAATAGTTCCAATAGTGGGAAAACAGGCATTTTCCTCAAAGCTGAAACAATTGTGGATAATTACTAAGTGACTAATTTTGATGTCCATATATGTAAAAGTATTACTGGGTATGATATTTCACATAACATCTAATTCATTTTTTATGCAGAACAGTTGTGAATTGGGATTCCTCATTCATGCAATTAGAATGGTATTCACTGGAAATCAGTAGTTCCTCATCTGTATAATCTGAGAATTGAAGCCATATAATAAAACATCCCAAGATACTGTGGGGTGCCCATCTTGGTAAAACATTTTAAATCATTGTGAAAACAGGACAGAGAAATATCAAATGAGCTTTTCTACATGGGTAAGTGGAGTGGGTAACCTCATGTGATTTGTGTGCCATTTCTTGAACTAAATAAACATCAAAGCAGACTTTTGGGTACATTTGTTATTTTATGAGATCTTAGATTGTAGCTGGCATCTCATGCTCCTTTCCTACTTGGCACAATCTATTAAGGTCTTTTGTGTGTGTCAACTTGGATTCACTGAAAAAGCTTTGCTTTTGGTACCATATATGCACTCAGGGAGACACAAACAAGCAGGCAAAATGATGAAAGCCAAGAAGATGGCAGCTGTCAAGACATCAGGCAGCTTGTGCCACTGGAAGAGCATTTTCCACAGCTCCTTTTCCCCTGATCAGCATATTGCCTCTTCTACTTTTATTTCCATGCAGGAAATTATATAACCACAGCTGGGAAATCTCAGGTATTTGAGATTCCTTTGAAAGTTAATGAAAGACCAGAAGGGAAGGAAAAGAATCTTTCAATATTGCAATATTTTGTGTTAATGTGAACCAACATGTTTCTCTCAGGGCCGAGGAATAAAGAATGAAGAAAGAAAAATACCCGCACAAGACTTTAATGAATCTGATCCTTTAAAAAAAAAATCCACTGAAATTCCTCTTTCACTCATCAGCTGAAGAGAACAGAAGGAATTTCTATGAATTTTTAGATTCATTGCTCTACTTCTTTATATATTATTTTCATTGAAAAAAAAATGGCTCACAGCCCCTTGAATGATGCATTCAAATTAGCTGCTTGCCAAGCTTGAACTGAGTCGGTGCACTGATGAAAAGAAATACTAACAGCAGGAGGGGGGGAAAAGCTCTATTTTTGCATTAGGGATTGTAATGATAAAAAGGGACTCAGAGACAAAGCACATGGGCAGAAGCATATGCACTAAAAGTGCATCTAAAATGACAGCTCTGTGGGAGTTCCAGTGAGGGTTCATGACAAACTAGACATCCCTAAAGGAACAAGGATGACACTGCAGCAGGATCAGAAGCCAGACGGTGAATTCTGGGCAGTAAAATCTCTCTGGAAAAAACAGGGATTGTGAAATCACCCACTTGTACTTTAGACAGGTGCCCCTTGGGGCTAGATGCAGAAACTGAAATTTTTGTGGCTGACATATGAGCCTAGGGATTTCAATCAAGCTTACCAACCATAATGCATAATGCTATATAAATAAATATATTGTTATCGCTCGTAACCCTTAATGGACTTTTGATGATTAGGACTGAATGATAAGGCTTTAAATATTTATTTATAGATAAGAAATGAGATATGGGAAGAAGTGGTCATTTGTTGTACTTTAAGAGAAAATGATGACCTATTAAAATTAATAAAAGAGATGAAATGTATTCAATTGACATAAATTATCAATTTTTAAAATTTTATTCAGAATTATACAGTAAACTAGAGAATATATTGAATGAAGATAGAGGCCTTTTAAAATAAAAATAATGTATCATATTTAGATGATACACAATATCAACATATATTTGCTCTAATACTTGAGGTAGAGATTGAACAAATAATTTTAAAAATAACAAATGCTAAAATACCAGGCCTAGATGAGTTTCCGATCAGACAGTATAAAACATTCATAGATCTTTTGGTACCAAAATTTTATCAAGTATGTGAAGAAATATTTGATAACAGAATTTTATCATTAGCATTTAACCAGGCTTCTATTACAGTTTTACCAAAGCAGGTAAGATCATATTCAGTGTTCTAATCAGTGGTGAGCTGCAACCGGTTTAACAACCAGTTCAGTGAGCGTGTGCTTCACGTTCAAAAACTGCCCATTTTAAGCTTAAAATCTTACCTTCTATGTCAGTGCTGGTGAGTAAAACAGCTGAGGCACGGCAATCTACTGTGCTGCGTGAATCAGCTGAGCTAAAAAACAGGGAAATATAGGACAGGAAAGGGCAGAGGTGGCTGGGCAGGGCAAACTGCTCACCGGAACTACCGGTTCACTAGAACCTGTCCAAACCCGTGACAGCCCAGCACTGGTTCTAATTATCATCCTGTCTTGTTGATTAACTTTGATAAAAGATTTTAACAGCAGTGTTAGCAAATGGATTGTAGCAAGTGATATTTTTGTTGCTAAGAATGATCAAGCAGGATTTATAAAAATTAGGAAGGTAGCAAATAACTTTAGGTTAGTTGTAGATTTAATAGACATGAATAAAAATAAAGATCTATTTGCAATTTTATCATTGGATGCTGAAAAAGTGTTCGACAAAATGGTTGCTATATTAAACGGATTTAGATTTATTTTGGAATTCATAAAATGGATTAAGATATTATATGGGTCACCTACATCTAAAGTGAAAATTAATGGTATGTTTTCTCCTGCCTTTCCACTGTTTAGAACAGGGCTGTCAAACTCCCGGCTAGCGGGCCGTTTGCATCATGTGCTGGCCATGCCCACACCTGGTTTAGTGAAGGGGAAAAAAGTCCCGATATGCACGTGACGCTGCCATGACGATGTGGGTTTGACACCCCTGGTTTAGAAGAACAAGGCAAGGATATCTCTTCCATCCATGCTGCATGGAACTCTTGTGCTAGATCTAACTCTATGGAGTAATAAACAACTCAGTTGAAATCTGAGTTAAATCGGTTTAACTTGCAGATGACAATCTTTTGTTTATTTTTAAACTTCGTATTATTATCCCAGTATTTATGCAAAAAATAAGGGGCCTTTAGTAAAATAGCAAGATACTCTATGAATTGGTCCAAATCAGAATGCAGGTAAAAATTTGGTTACCCATCCATTTAAGGAATATCGATTATGTATTTATATCAATTCTATTAAACATATAGCAAATCCAGAAAACCGAAACCTCCCTCATTAATTGGTAATTACATTTTCTGTAAAGATATTTTTGGAATTGAACAACCCATAGGAATTTTGTAAACAAAGAATTTATTTTTTGAAAATATTGTCCAGATGTATAAATTGGAATTCCTCTCAGAATATGAATTAATCTGACAATAATATTCATTTTGACATTGTTCACCTTTCTCACAGGGTAAGGTCTAATGATTCCCATCTATTGATATCTGAAGAATCCCCTCCTTTTTCTTTATATTACTATTGTTAGAAGTCATTTTAGTATTAAGTTACTCAGTTCTATTCTTTGGTATAGGAGTTGTGGTGGCACGGTGGTTAGAATGCAGTATTGCAGGCTAACTCTGCCCTGCCACGAGCTTGACCTTGATGGGACTCAGCCTTCCATCCTTCTGAGGTAGATAGAATGACGGCCCAGACTGTTGGGGGCAATATGCTGACAAAGAAAATGCTGTAAAGCACCATGGAGCAGTGTATAAGTCTAAGTGTTTTTTCTATTGCTATACCCATACCTAGATATTTTTCTTTACTGTATTATTTTTTTTCTTTTCTAGATTTTTTCCTTTTTTTCTGTATGTTTTTTTTATTTTTAGTAAAGCTTGTATTAGCTCTTACCTTTTTAATTGTAACATTTAATAAAAATTATATAAGAATGGCAGTTCTGTAATTAGCTGGGTCAATTCAAAATTGGTTAAATGGGCCTTACAGTACAGAGAGTTGCAAAACAATTTGTTTTTAACAAGAACGCAAGAAGTAAATAGCCCTTCTTTGGTGCAAGCTTTTAATTTTACATTCAGCTATGCATGGCCCTTTATTCAATTTAACAGCTGCAATTAGGACACTTCAAGTGGCTTGCATTTTTCAACCCCTTCAGTTGAAAGGGGCCTGGCTGAATGGTACACACATATAAGTTAGAGCAGCTGCAGTGCCATTTCTCTCAGATGCCTGGCTTACTGAGACTGAAAGCTGCGGGAATTCACCATAATTTGCAGTTGTGATGCTTGTGCCAAATTTGTAAATTGGAGGGTTCAGAAATGAGCTCCTCTCGTTCAGGAAAGCTTAGTCTAAGTTAAACTTGCTGGGTAAAGCTTTTCTTCTTTATTTACCCTTTGATGTAGACCCTACCTTTCTCTAGGAGCTTTAAGCATAGTATGTACCACTTCTTCCCCCATTAGTCTTTCCCAACATTTTCTGCTACTCTTCTCCCTTTCAAAATTAATCAGGGAGGAGATTAACTAGCAACAGGGAAAACAGATTAACTAGCAGCAGATGATAGGTGGTTGATCTTTAAGTTCTTTCTCTGACCTTGGCAACAAAGAGATTTATTCAGTTTTAATTTCCTGTTTGAATATACCAAGCCAGGAGGAAGCAACAGTTAAAAAGACTCAGCAGCATTTCTAAGAGCACAATGGAAGATCCAGAGCCATCATGCCACCAGGAACAGTGAGAATTTTCTCTGCTTCCAGCTGATGCTCCTCCTAAATAGGTATATATATGGAAGGCAGCAGGAGGGAAAGGGGGGAATAGGATTTTTCTGTGTGTGAGATCTCATAAAAGGCCCAGGAAAAAAGAGGTTGCTGCTAGCCTTTATGGCAATCAATGACTGAAAAATTTATGCATCTGAATGAGCAATGTAAAACAAGCTTTCTATAAATCCTTCAGCTATCTAAAAATATATCTTCAATCCTATGCTGTTGCATTAATGAGTATGTTCTCTTATATCATGTATATTTTGTAATATGACAGGTAATTAAAAAAAGGACTGCAATGCTACAGAGATTAAATGATTAAAACATTCTGACTGACAAAAATAGTGCCCCGATTAATCAATCACATTTCCTTTTTTTAATGTAGTAAAAAAAACAACACAATGGTTGTACAAAAACTGCAGAATGCCATTTTATTATTTAAACCTCAGAGGTGGTTTGAAAGAAGGTGAGGGAATTCTTCATTATAATCTCTCTTTTAATATGCAGTTTTTAAATTTTTCTCAATTGTTTTATTTAGTTAACCAACTGAATAAGATTTCTTTTGTTGGAAAATAATCCCTAAAATTTTATTTTAGAGTTCACTTTCTTAGTGGGGAAAGAGCTTGTGAAGTGATTCAGGAGGGAGGGGTGTCACTTAAGTTTTTGAATAAGGGGAGAGGGCTATAGTAGACAAGGCAAGGATAAAAACTGGTACTGACATAATACCTGAGAACAAGGCTAAACATTTGCTTTTTCTTTCTTTGGTACTTCTTGGATGGGGCTGGGATTATTCTTTGCTGTTTAAATGTTAATTGCATTGCAGCTTTGATGCCTATTTACCGAAAACAATGAATCATGACCAAACTGTACAGAGAGTTTCAAGGATCACAAATCAAATGGTGACAGCAAAAGTGCTGGACTTCAGCCAGAGAGATGGGAATTAAAATCCCTCCTCAGTCCCAGTGCCCAAGGATTCTCTCTGGCAAATCAGCATTACAAAGGTGGAGAAAATAAGAATGCATGTGACATGCAGCCCTGGGCTTGTTGAGGAAGGACAAGATATTTTAATGATAATAACAAAAAGTTTGTACAATTATTAATGCTCTCCTTTATCCATTTCTTTTTTTCTTACATCAAAACTTCAGAGATCAAAATTTCAGTCACCAAACAGGGACGCTGTTCTGTAAACATCACTGGGAAGTACCCTTTCAGGTAAATTCCTGAAATTTATTCATTTGTTTTTATACCAATTCACATCTTCATTATCTAGGTGGCTTCATTTTCAAGCTAAACTGCAGTTAAGTATGATGTCTGGACATTCATGAACATGAAAAATAGTTTCTATATTTTTTAAATAAAGCGATTTAATAGTGACACAAACATAGTGGTTCAAGACAACTATGGATTGGTGAAAATCAGGAACAACAACATTTGGAGAGCTGTATATTTTTCATCTCTTAATATTTAGAATGACAATGAGAGTTTCAGTATTGAAAAATGATTTCCTCTGATTATTAACAGTAATTTCTTACTAATCCTTACTTTTTTCCCAGTCACACTAAGATCAAGGTTTAAAGGGAATGCTATTTCATCATAGGCTCAACTGAGCCTGTGGTGCCCAAAGTGCAGGATGTTGTTTTTCAACCAAGTAATTCTAAGGTAAGCTGCATTTTTGATGTCTGATCTCAAAAAGCTCCCTGTGTTGTGCATGTTAAGGAGGAAGGATTAGATATTATTATTTAGATGGATAACCATCAGTAAATAATGGAGCTGCAGGATTGACTGGGAATTTTAAAAAAATTCCTGGAAGAAAACAATGCCAAAACCATTTCCAAATTGTTTGGCAAGAAAATTATATGGACGTATCCATGAAGCCGACAAGAATTAAATACAAGTTGGCAGAGGATTTTACATTTCCTTTTTCTCTTTCCAGTTTTCCTCTCAAACTCCCTGCTACTTCTTTCTAGCACATATCACTTAATTATATATATATCCTTTTGGCTGTCCTTGATTTCTTTCTTGGGAACTGCCGTTTCCTATGCCAGGGAACCCATCACTGTCTATGATTTTTTCATTCTTAATATTTCAACTTCTGATTCTGCTTCCTCCAAGACACTGTTATTGCTCTCTCTCCTTTGAAGCATATTCTAATAGTTGTGGCATTCCTACAAGTGTGATCTAATCAGCTTTTGCCTATTCACTTGCCCACTGCATTTCTACCTCTGACATTGGAAACCCACTACCCTTTACAGTACATCTCCAAGTATTGTAGAGCCCTTAACCATTGTTTCAGACCTTAATACTGTCTTGCTTTCTTCTTTGCCTTGGTTCCAACTTTGTTGTGATTGCACTCATGATTCTCCTCCAATAAGCTCCTTGGCTTTTTCTTTTGACCTCTCTGTCTTAGGGCAAACTCTCCAATGAACTGTATTACTGCCCTTATCAAAATCTATTCTGTCTCCCCTTGATCATCATATCCTTTTCAAAACTGCAACAACCTGAATTCAAAACATTTTCCTGTATTCTGTTACTTTATTCTCTAATGATATCCATCCTATTGATCCCATGATAGACGTGCTCCAATTTTCAAGCTTAAGCACACATAACTAAAATAATTAATATCATTTCTTTAATTACTTTGCTCCTCCAGCCCCTTTTCCTCTCCTGCAGTGTGTTACATGTTCAATTTGAAACTCCTTGGGATCTATATTCTTTTATTCTCCAAGCCATAGATCTGTGACCCCTTTTTAAGCTGGACCTTCACTTGACCTTCAAGTGGTATGCTGGGGGGATGCATAAAGAACTGGTGGAGCTAGCATAAAACTAAATCTGATTTGGTTTCAATGTAATTAAAATTAATATATTGAATATTCTTCTCCCTTCTGTCTCATCAGAAAGTACAATTTCTGGTAATTTCAGGAGGAGGTCTGCACTAAAGCTTGTTGTTAATCTCTAAGCGCCAGGCATAATGATACTAATTCCATAATTTTAAAGATGACAAATTAATGTGTTATACTGTAATTGGGAGAAGATTTTCATATGCTAAAGCATCAGGTACAGGATCTGTTCGTATGAAACAGCCTTATATGGTGTAAGATATATCTATCTCTGGGCAATACCCAGAGCCATTAGAGCGGGAAGGCAGGGGATGCTGCGGGTCCTATCCCTGAGTGAGATACATCTGGTGGAACCCAGAAGAAGAGCCTTCTCCATGGTGGCTCCCTCTCTCTGGAACATCATTCCCCCAGAGATTAGACTGGCCCCCTCAATAATACTCTCTTCCAGAAGGCACTGAAGACCTGGTTCTTCCAGCGGGCCTGGGGAACCTAGAGCGGGATGGAGCCCACCAAATGGCTCATGTGATCTGCTGTCGTCAGAGCGGGTGTGTGTGAATTAGGGGGTGATCTTTTATTTATTTATTTTCACATATTGTTCTATTGTATTATTAACAATTTATTTATTTGATTCTTTTTTTTAGTTTTTAGTTTTTATTTTAAATATGGTTTTACATTCTGTAAGCTGCCTCGAGTGGCCATGGACGAACAGGCGGCAATAGTAAATAAATAAATAAATAAATAAATAAACAAACAAATAAACAAATAAATAAATAAATAAATAAATAAATAAATACCTCTGGGCTATATTGGTCATATATTGCAGCACTCTCCGCATGGAGAGCTAGTAATGTGGCTCCACAAGATTATAAACTTGTGCGAGACAACCAGGCTGAGCCTGAGGGTGGTGTCAAATGCATAATCAATCTGGAGTATCTATGGCCCAGAAGAGATGCAATTCTAGCAGCACTACCCCGAAGTCTGTTGACACCAATACTCCTTGACTGTTAGTAGTTCAGATTCTTGTGTATAGATACTTTGAAATAAACTTGTAGTACTTTTGAACTCATCCTGGTTCCTGACTTCTTGTGTCCAGCAAAATTTACCATTATGTGATTTATACACATTAACTATATTACGTATTTTACCTGTGGCCTGGGACTATTCCTCTTTACACAATATGGCCCAGCCAAACCAAAAAGTTGGACAATCATGGTCTAACCTGACCAGCAGTGATTCCTTACAGATATTCTCATTCTTGCCACCCAGGTCAAAAATGGAATCTGAGAGCATATCTACTCAAAACAGCAATTTTCTCAGTCAACTATAGGAGCTGTTCTAAATCACAACTATATTGCTAAATATTATTATTTTTATATGAGTAACACTACCCTGCAGCTTTGTTAAGAATTAATGTAAGCCTGACATCTCTAAAGGCAAGCATATGGATCATTCAACATTTTAAAATGATTTTTTTTACACTGCAGCTGAAAGGATGGAAGACTCTTATACAAAGTGGGAAAGTGGAAGAAAGAAGTCATGAGGGGGAAGAATCCCCCATCATTTAAAAGGTAAGTGCTGAAAGTAATGGAATTTTGTGCAAGTTATGAATTTTAAACAACTTCCAGAAGCTGTGTTGTTTACAACTGGATATGAGCTGTTCCTGGCAGAATACCAATAAGGGGGGCATTGGAGTACTGCTTTGGGTCACTCTTTTTTTTGTGTGTGTGTACTTATTTTCAGTTTCTTTCTTTGACTTTAGCTTTTTTGAAATTCAGGAAACAAATTGAACTCTTTTGAACATCTGAAGAAAACAGCGGGGAAATATCAAGCTTTACAAAAGGAGCAATTGAGGCACCAGAGTATTGTAAAAGAGATGATATAAGGTGCACAATTTTTATCCTCTGCAGACAATATGTTCTTTTCCTTCTGTTTCCCAAACCAGTATTTGTCAGTTTCTTGTTCTTTTGTAATTTCGTTTTTTAATGTTTTTGAATTTGATTGGCTATAGTGCAGTTTTTCAGCATTATATTCCCAAGAATAATCTCAAGAATCCCACTCACCACAAAACATATTATATGCAAGAGGAGCTGTAGAGTTGATGATCAATCAGAAGGAAGGAATGAAAAATAATAGATAGCAGTTTTAAAAACAACCTCTTTCCAACTCCCTTGTGAATTGGTAATATTTATCCTAACACTGAGTGCCAATGCTTCTTCTTGAAAGAAATGCCAAATAATCTAGGTCAAACTATTTGTCCATCCAGCCCAGTATGTTCCTTGATCCTTCTAACTAGAAATGTCAGGATTTCACTCCTTATTTGCAACCTCTCATAGTTTTGCCTTGTGTTTCTTTTCTAATAATGGTGGCAGATGATTTCATAAAGGTACCTGGGCAAAGGGAATGGCACATACTTGCAGTCCATATCCATGGAACCTTTAATCTGAGCTGTCAACATTATTGTGTAGTTGGCATCATGTTACAGGCAAAGAAGCTTTACTCTAAGATGGCGACTGTCTATCCTGCCCAAAGAGCTTGACCATTGTAGTGATAGTAAGCTATTGCTTGGCAAGATAGCTCCTGACTTTTCTACTTAGCTAGGGAAAAAAAGAGATACAAACTAAATAATCAATAGACAAATCAGAAATAAACGTTGCTGATAACAAGGATGTCATTTTAACAAAATAGTGAATTAAGAGGAGACCATAGGTCATATACCCTGTTTAATAGCTCCATTACAAATTCCAATCAGTATTTTCTTATTTTGCTTAAATTTGTAGAAAAAAATATCCTGAATAGAAAATTGACACATGTCCACATGAACGTTGTGGCATTATGAATCTACTTGTCCCCGCCCCCCCACACCCAAAAAACTTTTAATCATCATTTTCTACTCCTTCTACTGCAATTGTTGACCTTTTCATCCCATACTCTGTGTTATAAATAAACTGGCTTGAAAACGTTTAGGCTTACCTATCAGAGAAGTCAGTGATGAGTAGGAGCTGACTCTCCTCATCTTGTCAATCGTCTCGAAAGACAAGATATATTCTTCATTTTCAGGGCTGCCCAAGGTGCTGCTGGCGCTGCTGCTTGTGCTCAGATTCCCCGGGGAAAATGCAACAGAGCTTCCAGCTGTTGAATAACAATAAGGATGCAGACACTGAACAAAACACTTATGCAAGGAACTATGCTCAATAAAGTATGAGTTGTATATGGAAATTTGAAAGAGAAGGGTATACTTGGTTTTGCAGTAGTATCTATTAGCCACATGCAGAAATCCTAGTGACTGCAGTGTGCCATGAGTTCCATCATTTTGTCACCAGGCTCCATCTGTCTGAGGCTTAGACATCTCTAAATAAGTTTTATTTTATAAGTCAACATACAGGTTCTGTCTCTACTCTTGAAAAGCTGAAAAATACTATTTCAGAAGGGGTATCATATCACCTTCTTGTTTCTCGGTGTCATATAATATATGTGGGCATATGCACAATTTTGCATTTATTTATTTATTTTGTCATGTTTATGTAGTGTGTATGGGAGGTGGTGACCCTTTGAGAGCTGTATGCAGTGAAATTTCATTTTAATGTATGCCGATTGCTGTATATTCTAAGTGACAATAAAGTTATTCTAACTCTAACTCTAAACTAACAGTATGCTCACTAATGGAGAAACAGAAGATCATACCAATGTTAATTTAAATACCAAAACGTATCTGACAGCAGAAATTAGCATACATATACAACTTTGTGATGTGGAAATATTTTGGGGATGCATGAATGATTTGGGAGTCCTGCTAGATACATGTTTTTCTGTAAAAAAGCAGGAAAAGATATGTAGAAAAGATTAACATAATGGAATTTAGGGAATAATAAGTGGGGGAGTCTTGCTGGTTTAATGTACTTCCACCAAGGAACTGGCTCTTATGATTATGTCCTGAAAGCTGCATGTGAAAAGAAACTCATAAAAAGAGGGATTTTTTTCCCCTTCTCTTTTTTCAGTGCTGCAGCTACCTGTTTTCCCTGAAAAACTACCTTTGGGATATGGCAGCATTAGGACTTGCTTTTATATAAGGGAATATACAAGGTGGTCCTTGAAATGTGATCATACCTGAGCCCAAAATTTCCATTGCTAAGCAAAACCATTGTTAAGTGAGTTTTGCCCCATTTTATGACCTTTCTTGCCACAGTTGTTCAGTGAATCACTGCAGTTGTTAAGTTAGCAACATGGGTTGTTAAATGAATCTGGCTTCCCCATTGACTTTGTTTTTCAGGTCACAAAAAAATAATTACATGACCTTGGGAGTCTGCAATCATCTTAAATACATGCCAGTTGCCAAGCGTCCAAATGTGGATCATGTGATCACAGGAATGCTGCAATGGTCATAAATGTGAAAAATGGTCATAGGTGATGTTTTCACTGCCATTGTGACTTCAAACCGTAATTAAATAACATTTATTGTTAACTGAGGCCTGTCTGTAACTGAAAATCAGATGAAGATATTACATATGTATGCAACTTTGTTCTTGCAAGATGTTTCCTATTTTCTCTGCCTTCTCTTTCAGCACTTGTTTTGGGAGAGGCACAGGGATTATAGTCGACAGGACAGATATATCACTTTTGCCAATGAATCTACTTCTGGTCATGATTTTCAGGATCCGATCCCCTGTCACACTATTCACAAATAGTAGTTAGAAACACGGTCAACTTTTAATTGTGCCATTTCTGTTGTAGTTCCAAATGCACACATGGTACAAGCAGGGGTGGGCTCCTGGGGGTTCGCAGGGGTTCGGGAGAGCCCCAAGCTAAGATACTGTGCAGTTCAAAGAACCCCCAAATCCCACTCCTGGCTGGCCCCGCCCACCCCACCCCGCCCCTCCCAGGAGTCCCCACAGTGCCTGTTTTGGATGCAGGTAAGTGCAGGGAATGCCCGGAGGCTCGAGGAGGGTGAAAAATGGGCCTCCCGGAAGTTCGGGAAGGCCGGAAATGGGCCAGTTTCCAGCTTCCAGAGAGCCTCGGGAGACCGTTTTCGCCCTCCCGGAGGCTCAAAGAAAGGTTCTAGAGCCCGGGGAGGGCAAAAACACCCCTCCTGCCATGGTGCAGGAGGCTGAATAGGCCATGCCCACCATGGCCACGCCCATCCAGCAACTGGGCAGAGAACTCTTTGCTATAATGTTTGAAGCCCACCCCTGGCTATAAGGTTATACATATACATATACACATACACATACACACACACACACACATTTAACAATGAAAAGTTATCTTACATTCTTCATTCAAACTGAGATTCTGCAGAGACTTATTCAAGTTCCTTGCTGTAGTGACTGCTCGAATATTTCCATAGGAGCTGACAGAACGGAGTTTTGGAGTACATGGATTATCTCGGACTGGAGTCAGACTTCCAACCTCTATGGAGGCAATGTAAAAATTTATCCCCGCAAAATAGCAAACAGGTAACAGTTTCAAGTAAGTCAGTGATAGTAGCCACTGCTGCCCCTTTGGAAAGGGTTTATTATTTATTTATTTTATTTATTTGCCACCCGTCTAGTATCAAAATGACTCTGGGTAGCAGTCGGTGGCGCTATGTCTTCTTTTAGCCCTTGTGTTCTTTTTTCCCATATGTTTTCCCATGGCTTTGCTTTATCTTTTACAGTCCAAAGTTGCCTCGAACCGGGAGATGGGTGGCACATAAATTTAATAAATAAATACATTAAAAATGTACCTTCTAGGCCAGGGGTGTCAAACTCAAGGCCCACAGGATGCTTAGATCTGGCCTGCGGGGCCACCCTGGAAATAGCAAAGGACTGGCCTGTGGTGCCACTGCCAGCAAAATGGAGCTCAGGATTGCTGTGCACAGTCCCCGAGTCCATGATGTCCTTCTAGAACTCTCTGTCAGAGAAAATGGAGCTCAGGGGAGCTGCACACACCTCCCGAACTCTGTTTTCACTGCAGGAGGTCTGCAGGAGGCTGTTGCAGCTGAAAACAGGGCCCAGGGGGCTGTACACACACCCCGGGCTCCATTTTAGCTGGCAGAGGGCTAGCAAAATAAACTAAAAACAAAACAAAAAGAGAAGTGTTTCCCCTTATGCACTTGAGCATGCAAGAAGGGACAGGAAAGGAGAAAGGGAAAGAGAAAAGAAAAAGAAGGGAAGATGGGAAGAGAGCACGGAAATAAAAATAAGGATATAGGGGAAGGAAGAAGAAAGGAGAAGGAAGGAAGGAAGGAAAGAAGGAAGGAAGGAAGGAAGGAAGGAAGGAAGGAAGGAAGGAAGGAAGGAAGGAAGGAAGGAAGGAAGGAAGGAAGGAAGGAAGGAAGGAAGATTATGAGAATGAGGGAGGGTCTGAAGGAAGTCCTGCCTTAACACTTGGCCACCACAGGTGCCCCAAACATGAGTTATGTCGAGCTGGTCATGCCCACCCTGACCATGCCTACTCCGCCCCCCCCCCCCCGAGGTCAAACATAACCCTGATGCCCTCAATAAAATCAAGTTTGACACCCCTGTTCTAGGCAATGTACAAATTGGTCACAAATCAAGGAACAAATCAACTTAGGTAAACAAATGAATAAATGGTAAACAATGACTTAATCAAGGAACTACCAGAAGAAGAAAACAAGACTCTCATCAACCCTGACAGGGCAAGCCTCTATATATAAACTATATATATATAAACAGACCAGATGTGGTATTCAGCAGGTTCTGACCAGTTCTGGAAAACCAGTACTGGAAATTTTGACTGGTTCAGAGAACTGGTGGTAACCTTCCCCCTGGAGTGCAGTGGGAATGGAGATTTTACAGTATCCTTCCCCTGCCACGCCTGCCAAGCCATGCCACTCCCACAGAACTGGTAGTAAAAATTTTTGAATCCCACCACTGAAACAGACAGCAAATCCTACTTCCTTCCGGGGCCCGAAGAGTAAGTGGCACAATAGAGTAATAAAAGGTCTGCAAGAAAACAGCCAAGCTCAGAGAGCACAAAGAACTCTACAAGCAACAAATTGAAAGGCTAGACTGCTTCTCTTCGTTCCTTTTAACAAATGTTCTAGTTTAGTATCAATGGGACAATCAATGGGATTTCTCAGAAGTAACATTTTAAAATTGAGATACTATTTCAATTTGCTTATTTAAAGTAGAAGAAAATGTGCAGACTGCTACCGTGCAAGAACTGTTAGAGCTATGAGGCTTACGTGACAGCCCCAAACCAAGCTGACCTCATTTGAGTTCAGCAAGGTATCACTGTTGAGGTGCAAGTCTGGATATTACAATAAAACAGCAAACACAAAAATCTTAACGATCTTTTTCCTGCCTACACATTTACCCAACGAATTCCATTATATTATGACTGCTTGCAATTGTTATTTATTTATCCTATTTTTCTCCAAAAGGCAGACTTAGTCGGCCATAAAAAAGCTTTCATAATGTACACCAAAGACAGCTTCTTGTGCATTTTATTTATAACCATTTATTTCTTATACAAATAATGTTGGTCTATGTTTCTACTTTTTATAATGCCCCCCCTTCTTTTAAGGCACAGTAGCTATTAAAATACACATTTTATTTATCGGGTACATATAAACTGTTTCAAACAAATTTACTCCTAGCAGCATATAATTTCATGACCTCCTAATTTGGATTTAAAGAAAAATACAGTAAATCAGAAGTAAAGTTTATAAAGCACATAAATAAATTGGGACTTTAAACCAGAGAATCTAATCACTGTGTAGAAGAAC